TCAGCAATAAAAGTACTAGGGTAAGGGTGCTAAAATAGCAAATAAATGAAATGTAATAGCATATTCAAAAATAAATGCAAGTACATATGAAATATTTGTACATAAAACTGTTAAAATCGCAAACAAAAGGTTAAAAGAAGATTTTCAAATAATATAGGTAGGTAAACTAGCTAGCCATTTAGGAAAAAAAAAATTAGACCAGTATTCTATCCTCATTCTCTCAAACCAAAATAAATTTTAGATAGAACATAAAAAATAAAAAAAAACAAAACTGATAACAAAAATGGGCAATTATTTGCTAAAGGAAGAACTTTTGAAGAAAGATTTTTAAAAAGCCAGAAACACATAGGGAAATCATAAATTTGACTTTAATACAGAACTTTAAAACTATCATAAAACATACCTTTTGCAAAGTTAAATGGGAAAAGGGGGCAGGGATTCCACATTACATGACAGAATTCATAATTTTAACATCTAAAGAGTTTTCAGAAATCAAAAAGAAAACCAACACCCCAATAGAAAATTGGGCACAGAATACAAATCATTAAATAAAAAATGGACAACTTATGAAAAATTATTCAATTTGACCAGTAACCAAAGAGACACAAATAAAAAATTACCACTAATATTATCTATCAGATAGGCAAAGGCATAAGGACTGACATGACCCTAACTAGAAAAAGTGTGGGAAATCAAGTACATCATTTGTGGGTACACATTGTTTCAAGCTCTCTGGAGAGCAGCAGGCAATATTCAATCAGAACTTTTCCAGCTGGCCAGTTAGCTCAGTTGGTTTGAGCACAACCTTATAAACCCAAGGTCACAGATTTGTATTCCTGTACTGGCCAGCCTCAAGAATTTTTCATCAATAGACTCTTCTTCTTTGGTCTCACAAAATAATCTTCCAAGTGAGCAGAGATATGAACTCACTGAAGCTATGAATAGTACAAGTAAAACATGACACAGACCTACATGGACAATCAGGCAGCTACGCAGAGAATTCTGAATTTAAAAAAAAAAAGGTATGTTATAGAATGAAACTTATAAAAAGATTCCATTTATTTCAAACTTTTTATTAAAGTCTAGAATGACATCCACGCAAAATATCATTGGTTATCTTTGTTAGTGTGATTTTCTTCTTCATACACTTGTTGGCTTTTCTTTATATTAATCAAAG